CCCAGATCCGCGATTTCATCAAAAGTTTTATTGTTTTATTTATATTAAAACCCGTATTTTTTTCTCGAAGGTGTCTTAGACATAGCCATCTCTTTTCTAAGTTCTATGATTCTTTTACTTTCGAGTTCTATCCATTCCGAAATTTCTTTGATAATTTGCTCACTATACTGAGAAATTTTATTGAATTTGAGAATCGCAAATAAATTCGAACCAATTTTAGTCTGGATGCAGTAAATTGCGTTTTCTATATTGATTGGTTTCAACTTTTAGGATAGTTTTGATTTACTTCAGAAAATTTCATTATTGTTGATGAAATGAACTGAGCTGTATGAGGTTTTCAATAAAATGATTTTTTTTCTCAGCTGTTTCTAGCTAACAGCTTAGAGTAGATTTTGCATGCATTCTCTAGATATATCTGAAAAGATTCAAAAGTTTTTGAACAAATCCATCATTTTGATCAAAAAAGAGAACAACTAGTCTAATCAGATTGATAGATTTCTGTTTATAAAAATTTGTACAATGAAGTTTTTTGTTAAAACGGACGTAACTTTGAAAAAAGTTTTTGAAAAAGGAACAGTTTCCTTGAAAGCAACTCCTTTTTTTCACAACTATGATTAGGTGTTTTTATTCAGAATTGAAAACGAAGAATAATGAAAAATCTTAAATCAACAAATTGTTTAACCAATTTCATCACCTTAAAGTTTGTTCTGAAAGTCTGATTGAATAAAGTTTTAATGGATTTTCCAATTAATTTGAAGATTCTAAAATTTAATGCGTAATGAATTCTCATAAAGTTCTAAGTGTTATTTAGTAGATTCTAGAAGCTGATGACGTCAAATTTTCTGGTGGAAACTTCCACTGTTCTAGGGAGTTTTCTTGGTTCTGTTTTTGATTATTTTACAAAGATGTTGTTGAAAAAACTTTCAAAAGACAACATCTAAGCTCTATTCAGAAGCTTGCGTCTTCCCAGCATTCCCAGCTTTCTTGGAAAAAAAATAAAACTCATACTTTGATTTGTTGAAAACTGTTGATTGTTACAATGATGGTTCTGTATTTAGGAGCGTCTCAATTTTTCTTTTAAGTTTTAGTATATGTCTATTTTATTTGTGTTTCATTTCAAACGCTTCTAACATTTTATGTAATTTTTAACCTCTGTGCAAAAATTAACTCATAATTTTTTTGCAAGACAAAAAAATTGATAAGGTTTTTTCATTAATTATGCAAATATTTAGTTCATTTTGTCATAAATTGCTCAACGTTTTTTGATTTTTATTAAGTGTAAAAAAAATATAGGAAATTCATTGTAAAATGCAAGTTTTTTGTGGTTTTTCAAATAATATGTGCAAAATCTAACTTATTTTTTCTTAGGCACAAATTAATGAAAAAATGTGTTACATTATTTCAAAAAAACTTCGATATAGATGAATTCTAGTGCTTATCCCTATCCTGATATCTTGTTTTTCTGATTTTTTTGATCAACATAAAAATTAGTTTTCTTAACGATCACTTTTAGAACAAAGAAATTCATAAGTTTTACTTATCAGCTGTGTGAAAAAGACTTAATACAGTTTTCTTTAAATTGCAAAAAAAGTTAATAAAATTCCCTTCAAAATGTGAAATTTTCAATAAGTTTTTCAATGTGTGCTAGCAATATTATAGAAAAGTTTGCGACAAAATTTTTTCTTGGTTTTTTGAAAAATATATGCAAAAATCTAGTAGATTGTTTCTAATAAAAAAGCATAAAAAACGCAAATTTTTTTTTTGTAAAATTTACTTAATTTATTGCTAAGAAATATTCGATTTTCGGAGCTGAAAATGATTGAATGATAAATACTTTTGATCACCTCAACAAACAGGTAAAAACTATTCAAATAATAAATTTCAGTACGAAGACGAATGCATTGAAGATTGGGAAGAAGCAGATATCTCAACCAAGTTTTTGAGAGTTCAGAAAAATCATCCCACTGATTTGAAACAACATGTTGAGAGCTATGTAATGTTTTGCCTGTTTTTGGATTTAATAGTGGTTATTATGATATGGGTTTAATCAAGTCCTACCTAATCCAAGCCCTTATTTGATTCGCGATAAAGAACAAGAAACATCAGTTATCAAAAAAGGGAACAATTTCCCTTCCTTCAAGTTTAGAGATGTAAAATGATGGCATAATGACTTTTCTGGGTGGAGCAACGACTCTGGACTCTTCCCGTACGAATGGTTTGATAACCCACACAAACTTGATTTTCACGAATTGCCACCGTATGACTATTTTTCAGTAAACTTATAAACATTAATCCTCTAAACAAAAACCTTATTGATTATGAGAAGCTGAGACAGAGTGAGCTTGACCAACAGGAAGCGCTGAAACAGCTTCAAATCAGTACTGTACAACCATCTGGTTTGGATAATTACAATTACTTACAAGAAATTTGGCAGAAAAACGGAATGACTCTGTTCAAAGTCAGGATGTTGTTTCAACCCAGGAAGCAATGCAAAAATCTACAAATTACAAGATTTATCCATTTTGCGAAAGTAGTAAATACTTGTGTGAAAAAATTCGAACAGGCTTGACCGGTGGGACTTCGATTTTGTTTACCCAAAAGGCTGTAGTTGAAGAGACAATCATCAGAAATTCATCAAATATATGTGTAAAAAAAATTGTTGGAATTAATGCAAGCAAGCTTTACACTTTCTCAATGTGTCAAGATATGCCAACAGGACTGTACATGAAATGGGAGCATGACACTGATTTGCAGAAGTTTAGAGCCAGACATACCCAATCTCAAGTATTTGAGAATCTGGTCATGTCTTTCTACCAGGGAACAAGATCAGAATACAAAAATGAGAGCTTTTTTAGATCTGGAAAACAAAAAAATTGTTTTAATTTGGACGGTTATTGTGATCACTAAAAAACAGTATTCGATGCAGTGGGATGTTACTACCCTCAAGTTTCTAGCACGTTTCTCCTAGCAGGTCAGGATATTGAACGAGGTAATAAAAACAGAGAGATGGATGATATGAGACAGGATTACATAAAGGAGAAAGGATACAAAGTTGAAGAAATGCGGGAGTAAGAGTGATGGGAAAGCTTCAAAACCAATGACAAGATCAAAATTCATGTCGGAACCCATTTTCACTATGAAATACTCTTTCTGCAAACTCCCTTTTAGTGAAAACAAAAGACAGATCTCTTTTTGGCTTTGTTCAGCGCGATTTATTTGTTCCAGATGAACTAAAATCTAAATATGCCAACATTCCTCCAATTTTCAAAAACAACGATCTTGGAAAAAACGATATTGGAGACTAAATGAAAAGCTATGCAATCACGAACGATATGTTAAAACATTCCCAGAAAATGCTGATATCTGATTTCAAATTGGAAAATGGAAGAATTGCTGGTATGCAAACAAGTCAAATTAACTCAAACTCTGTAGAAAAGGTTTGAACAAACGAGTCTTAGAAGATTCTAGTTACAAAATGATGTCAAAGTACAGGAGACTGCTTGATGAAGCAATCAACTTAACATCTACAAATAAAAAAATCAGAACCGTAATCCATAAGAGGGCCAGATTTGAGCAAATAAAGAAAAAACAAGTTCAAGATGATGAAACTCATACAAAACCATTGAATTATAAGTGCTGATGCAATGTAATAAACTTATAAGAAGTGATGCCATGTATTAAACCTATATAAAATTCAGTATTTTGTTGATTTTTTATTGTAAATTGCTGTAATTAAAATACGACGCAGTGATTCATATAATTTCTTTGTAATTTATTTTTCTCTCAGTATTTTGTTGATTTTTCATCATAAAATGCTTTCAACTAAAATATGACGCAGTGATTTATATATTTTCTCTGTAATGTATTTTTTTAAGCTTTTGTATATTTAAGCATAGTTTCAGGTAAAATAGAACACTTTCTTAAACATTAAAATAATCTAATAAATTATTTAATAGGCCAAATTATATCAGATTTTGTTGTGTTTTGAAGGTTTTTCAAAAATAATTCAATTTTTTGATAAAAATCTCAATTTGTCCCCAAAAACTCTTACCATTGACTTTCCATGAACCAAAAAACTAATTACAAGACCTTCAATCCGCCATCTTATAGTAATTAACTATTGATATTTACCAATTAGATAACCCGGGCCAAAACTTTTGCAAAAAAAATAGAGAATTCCACTCGAAATTCAAAAAAAAAACGTTTTCCTTACCACTATCTTACCATCAGACTGAAACCCTATCAATTATATTCCCTTTCTTAATACATTGTAGACTCTACACCCAATGTTAAAACATAGCATGGCAGACCGGAAATCTATAACGTATCTTAACACATGGGGTCCACCATGATCCCCCCACGACCTCTTCATCCACCCCCCCCCCCCCACTTCAGCCCCAACATCTACTACTCTAGTGGATCTTTAGTTGAAACACTTCAAATTGTTAATCGATGGTTTTTGCTTCATAATAATGCGGTGCGGTGTTTAAGTAATCTGACGCTACCTGTAGGGCTTTCAATTTAAAAGAGTTAATCTTTGAACTGAAACACTAAGTATTTCAAGGTGAAAATGAAGTTTTAAAATCGACTTGACTTCAGATTAACCAATAGAACACTGACAAGAGTCAAGCAATTTCTGAAGTCTAGAAGCTACTAGTCTAATTGAGATGTTTAACTAATCCTTCCCATCTAGATCCCAGCCTGGTTTCATCCTTCATCTCCTACCTATGTATCTCGAGCAGATGAAAGGAAGCAAAAAACCCAAAGAAAATTATTTTTAATTTTATTGGTTGAGAAGAATCTTTTGTCCAATGATTAATATTTATTAGCGACCTCTCGCTGCCCTAAAAATCTTCAAAAACTTCCGAAGTTTCCGAAAAAAAAGCTATTCAGAAAATCATTTTCTCTTCCATGTTATTTTACGTTGGTTACTATATGGACGGAGCATTTTATATTATTTCAATATTAACCGATTTTTCTTGTTGAATTATTTAACTCACTTGGTTTGTTTTCTCCCCGATTCTGTTTTTTGAAGACCTCCTTGTATTCAGGTGAAAGAAAGTTCTCGTTTCCTTCGAGGTCCGGAAGCGCAAGACTCTCCACTAAATTCGTCCCAAGAATTCTCAGCATACATGATGCAACTGGGCATTGGGGTCTTGGACGGTGTAGTACTCGCTCGACGCATTTGTTAGGAGAGTTGGGTCCGCACACTAAGTGACCGCAGTCTGGCAGACGGCGAGGGTCGTAAAATTCGTGGGTGCACACGCTGCACCAGAGTTGTTCGTTTTTAGTGGGTTTATAACCATACATGGTAGAATTTGCATCCATCTTGCTGGTTTGATTTCTTTTTTGTTCCTGTTTGCTTTACCGGTTGATGACAGCAAGATTTTTGACTGATTTTCAAGGTACAAATCAATGAGAAATATGAGAAATTATGCAATTTTTTGAGATTGGTTGGATTTTATCACAGTAGTAATACAAGTTTGCTTGCAGTTAAGAAAAGTTTTTGGCTAGTTGTGATTGCAATTTGCAGAGATTGATTTTGGTTTTCATCGATGATGTGACTTCAGATTTAAATGTCCCAAAAATGCTATTCGTTTTTTCAAGTGAGGTCTTGATTGATTAATTGATGCTTTCTACTGCGCGGTTGCAGAGTCCTTATAATCAGAGGCTCAAATATTTGATGCTTGATTACTTTTGATTACTTTGGACTAATACCTGCTTTCGTTATATTGTGAGCCGTTAAGTATTACTTTCAATGGTAAACCATAGTAGTTTTTATTTTTTATATTACAGCTTGCTTACTGTAAAACTTTTAGATTATCTGCTTCAATCAGTTTTGTTAAACCAAACTATGTACACAAAACCTCGCTTCAATTGATGGTAAGCTTCATTGGTTTTAATGATTTTATACTTTTCTGTAAGTTTGCTAATTTGCTCTAAAATTGCTTTAACTGCAGAAGCACCGCGCTGTGCCACGTCGCAAAACGTGGTCAAGAAAGAAATTTGAGCCAAATCGTATTATTTGTCCAAAAATGGCACCACAAAAATCCGGACCAAAATGCATTTAATCATGCTTGCCTATTGTTTATCTAAAAGTATCTTTATCTTTTCTGCAAGTGGTCACATGGGTGGAAAAAATGCAGAATTTTTCACCAGCTAGCAACAACAAAAAGTCACTAAATTGACATATCTCTCTCTCTATCTCTCTCTCTCTCTCTCTTTTCTCTCTCTCTCTTCTCTCTTATCTTTATTTTCCAAACAACACAAGACACTTCGTATCAGGACAAAGCCCTGAGTGGACCGATTTCGATGTAGAGTTTGGAAAAAAGTTAAAACCTCCTAAAAAAATTTCTATATATATATATATATATATATATATATATATATATATATACATCTTAAGTAATCACTATACATGCAATGTTAAATACCAAGTCCTCCTCTATTTCTGTCAGTTAATACAATGTTTTAATTAATCCATTGAACCGGAATTTCAACTAACATCTTGGACAATATTTCTTAATGAGCAATCATGTAACTCATTGTGCGACGATAACTAAAAGTTATTTCCAAAAAATACTAATAATAAAAAAGTTGACGATTTTTTTTGGAGAATATACTCTCTATTTTTGCTGATTAAATGAACGTTACAAATGAACGTTACGAAAACTGCAAGAAAAAAAATTGGATGTAAATGTGTGCTAAAACAATGCAGTTGTAAAATCATGTGTTCTGGACTTCATACCATATGACAAATTCAAATGGTATGAAATCGGTTTTAACCAATTTAATTTTTCAAGAACTTCAGGTTGTTGCGAAGAAATTTTTCCTTATTTTTGCGCCGTATAAATTATCAACAAGATCTCAAATTTGGAGAACAAACGAATGAGGCGAGTTCTCAAATCACAAAAAAAAACTAAATATTTGATTGAATACAATTGAAATAAAATTTGCTGAAGTTTCTAAGTACTTAACTTTGGTTAAATTTTACACACTTTGCTATATCATTCCCTTTAGTTATCTGCGGAACGGGTTTCTTTACTGGTAGTAACAACTGCTATCATCAGTAGGGTAGCAGAGTGGTCTTCGTTTATTTTCGGCTGTCGCCAGCAGTTTGAAGCGACACTCTATTCTATCGAAGAAGTCTCCCGATCCCGTGATTCGGAACATTTCCTCTTTGTTTTCGTCCACTCGTCCAGTGTAAACGAAAAGACGAATTGCTTGAGATTTACATCTGGAAGCGATCTCAAATGAAATTCACAATAGTAAGTCATGCGGATCTACATCTACCCAGTTCGAAGTTTGCTAATAAAAACTTTCGATCAACGCAGGTCAAACACACGTGTTAGAGGTTGACTAACAATTGGTGGTCAAGAAGACTTTATAGGCAAAATCAAAGTCGATAAATAAGTTGCATCTAATTATAGACGAAAAACCCTCATAAATCCATGTTTCGATGAACAAAGTTTTGTGTTTTTGCGACTCAAGATCGTTTTTCGCGTCTTAAGTTTTCTTGCTTGAAGTTAGGATTAGTTTTACTTATGATTAGTTCTAAATAACTTCTTTCAGGTAAAATTTGAAAACTCTTCCAAAATATTTCATTTGTGGTGTATACAGTTGTTATCAGAAGCTGCTCGAGTAAAAGATTTTGCATAGACAGCTCAAATCGATCACTAAATTATAACAACGCTCAAGCTTGGAAGAACAAAATCGATTGTCGCAAGCAATCAAAATAGTAGCGAAAACGGAATGTGATTTAGCAATGGAAAACAACAAAAACAGCCCACAAAAAAACCCAAAAGCACCTCCCTATGGTATGTTCAAAAAGTTTCCTAGCAGAGGATGCGAAAATAAATGTGCTGTTCAATGTAGTCTACAGAAGACATCTGTAAAATAAGGACAAAAATCTGGTGTCAGCGCAGCTAGGAGAGAACGATGTCAACAACGTAGAAAAACTTTTCGATAAGAGTTTCTTGGCAGAGTTGATATCGCAGCACATACGGTTGGACCGAGTTAGGAGAGCGGTGGAATTCAAGTACGAACAAAGATCTGAGCATATGAGGTCTTGTATAAATCCACCGTGAAACCAAAAGAGCTGAGAGGACGATTGTATCCTGGTTGAAAATCTACTCACGGCACTGGAGAAATTGAGAAATGCAGTCCTAAAAAACTGCATGCAGGCCACCCAGGACAAAAAGCGATGTTAGATGTATCGACATAACTGATGTGGCCTCATATGCACAAAGACATCATGAAAATGGCGGAAGAATATACAAGATATGGTGAGAATGTCGAAAATCAGATTCATAAAATTACATCTAAGCTGCTACCACCGCTCACACAATCGAAACAAAAAAACAACTGCTTTTTTGTAGGTCTATAAAAACTGAAAACGGCAAAAAAAATTGATAGTAACTATAGATCGCTTCTCAAAATATCCGTTGGTCAGATCGATAAAGCTCACAGGCATCAAAACATCAATAAAATTTCTTCGGACATAAATTAATTCACATGCTATCCCAGATGCATTAAGGACCAGTTCTCTGGATTTAAAGGAAAGGCAAAAATAGGTTTTGCACGGAAAACAAACTTAAGCAACATTTTTTCCCGTGGTAGATCACAGAGGGTGCAGTCTGGTCGAGCGCGCTTTTGAACTAATCAAAAAAGGAATGGGAGTAATGATTTTGGCAGAAAATGCTGAAATTAGGAAAAGACCATGAGAAACATAAAAGTGTTGAAGAATTTTTTAAAGGCAAGCGCAGCATGGAGTGAATTTCGAAGAAATATGGTCAGAATTGAAGTCAAACAGAGTGGGAAAGCGATAAAGGATGCAAACCCGGAACTGAAACTTGAAGTGGGCTTTTCGGAAAAATGCTGATTTTTGGAGGAAACGGAAGAAAAGCACTGGAAAAAGAACTAAATGGAAATACTGGATAGAAAATTGTTTTGGCTAAGAAAATCCTGAAGCAATTATTAGGCAAACCATTGACAAGGGCAAAAGCTGTCTCTTTGGAAAAGGAATCTGAAAAAGGGTGCCTTGTACCGGAAATCAGATGTGGCAATTGCAAAAGGAAAAGGACAGTTAGGAAAAGTAGAAAAGAAAAAAAAAACAGGAAACTATATTAAAGTCACCTACGTAACCAGCCGAAAAGGCATCGAGAACCTAAACGTCGATGCAAATGACAGTGTCGGACTCTGATCCAAGTGATGACTTTACCAATGTTTTCCTTTGAGACCCATTCATTATGCAGTTCCAGACCAGTACACGTTGTTGTGACATCGAACGTTATAAAGTCAGAAGGCGGAATCAACCTGGGCACACAAAGGCCTAAATTGAATATTGGGGGCCAAACATTCAAAAGGAAGTCAAAAACACACCGTCAAAAAAGACAAATATACAGCTTAAAAACCTCTAAAGATCAAGGCGGCAGCTGCATAATGAGGCCGAGAGGAAGCAGTATCTGGTATCGCAGAGAATAAAAGTCTGCCGATAAGATCCTCATCGTTGAAACAGTGTTAACGTGAGAAAGAATTCGGAAATTGATTAGAAAGAAATTTAAAAGAAATTGATTAGAAAGAATATGACGGCTGAAAAATAACTTTAAAAAATTGAAAAAGACGAGGCGACCCACCAGCAGAGAATACAGATTGAAGAACAAATTTTACAAAGAGGGGTGGAAAACGCAGTCAAAAGATTTTGTACGAAAAAAAATTTTACAACCAGTTTTGTTGATTGATCTAGTCGAAACGTCTCTGGAGGGATCTACTACTGCTACTGCAGAATCAGCAGAAAGACAAAACCAATCGCCCGAGACGTTAAAGACGTTGGAAGCATCAAAAAACCTGAGAAGAAGCATGCGCTCCAACAAAAACAAGCAAGGGAAAAGGTGTATGAACCAGTAAAACACTCGGTAAAAAAGCCAAAGAACAAGCGGTTGAAGACGAGGAAATTTTCAACAAGCTGCAACGAGTATCACTGGACACATATCGCTCGGAACCGGCAACGAGAAACCCACCGAAGGACTCAAAAGAACACTGCTGTCATTCACTAGAGCCGTAAATATTTACTTAGAAAAACGGAGCGAACCCGTTGAAATTAGACAGGATTTAAAGCGCAGACTTGGTCACTTGACTGGAAAAAAAAACATCCGCGTCGAAGAAAAAAATGAAGGAAAAATGAAAAATCAGTGAAAAAGAAAATTTAAGTGAAAAACATTTTATGATACGGCAAAACGGTGTAAAAGTTGAACTTCTATCTAGATTAAATTGATCTTCTATCGAGACTTGTCTAGGTTAAATTTCTATCGAGACAAAAAAAATTCAGTTTTCGACTGCTGTGTGTACAAAATCAAGAATAAGCAATTCTTATTGCTTATTTGGCGCAGATGTAGTTTCGGTTATTGGGATGAAAAAAATCAACGCATCGAGTCAACCAAGGCCTGCAGTTTCCGAGAGCTGAAAAATTGCTGAAAAGAAAAACAATTTTTTTTTGAATTTTTGGATGACTGGTCATGTAATTACCCCAGCAACATCTTTCACAGCAACATCTTTCATTACCATTTAAACCAGTTTTTTTATGAAACAGCATTTGGTGCTTGCCTATTGGCGCAAATCATAAATTTTCCAGGCTTTTGCTCTCTACACATGCGCAGCGTAGCCTCATACAGCAAAGCATCTTTTTCTCTAATTCAAGTCGCAAATACTAGGGTTAATTTTCGTTTCG